CATACGTAGCTTGTGCAAAACACATCACCCCATCTGCAACTGCCACCTCCCCAATATCTGGCAGAGCATCCCCAGGAAAATACCATTGAGGTTCTCCATAAATATCATTGTTGACCTAAGGAAAGGCACCCGGAGGTTGACCCGATTCATCACACCTGGCCTGGGGACTTTCATTTGGTCTCAAAGGAAGAGGAGACCAGAGACCACTTCACTCTTCCAGCTCCCTTCAGAGCAATATTTTGCTTAAAACCCATAGGATTTATAATTATACATATTTTGCTTAAAATCCATAGGATACTTGAAACCAGGCACCTTGCTATGAGGGGACCACAAGGCACTGCGCAAGCATCGTGCCGCATCCCAGACCCTGCGGGAGGGGTCAGCCCAGGGCACCCAGTGGGTCCGGAGCCAAGCCAGACGCCGGCCCCAAATCTGTCTCCCATTTTCACGCTTTTCTCCCCCATCGTCCTTATTCCCAAATCCTATTAAAGAATTAGAACCGCATGTTCACTAAAGATCACAGGGGCTTTGAGCCAGCAGACGAGTCAGATAACGAGATAGCTACAAATCCCACAGGACATTTGGAGACCGAAAAAAAATCATTAAAATAATGGCACAGACAAAACTTCCTAGACGTTAGCTGGAATCACACAGAAGCAGCAGCCAAATCAACTCTCCAAAGCTCCCTTTTATCTTAAGGTCAGACCATGCTTCTTTTGAACTCACCCCTTAATTTAACAGGGTCACCTCCAGAAATAGCCAGAGCACGGTGCCCCATGATTTGGGCACAGAGGGAGAGCTGTCCCCTTTACATCCTCCCTGGGATGACTATCAGACCGGGGGCTGGCAGAAGCTAAGATGCTAGGTGGTGCTGCTTTGGGGGGATCGGTGGTAAATCAAGGCCAGGGGTGCTGCTGGCGGCAGGGCTCACCTGGGGGCTCCGTGGGGCAGGGCTGCAGGTCACAGGTCTGTTTGCCCACCGGCTTCACCAGCGGGTCGCAGCCCCGGACGATGTCCTTCCCTTGGTAGCACTTCACGTCCCGCATCCTCACGCCGATGCCGCAGGTTTTCGTGCACTGGGGAACAGAGCGGGGGGTGAGGCGAGACCCTGCCATCGCAGGGGTCTGTGCTAAGCCAAGACCTGCTAAAAAAGCTGAGCTTGCTGGAGATGTCAGAGCAGGAGGGTGAACTCTTCCCCTGGCTGAATGTCATGTCTCAGCCCTGCACCGCTGGCCTCTTGCTCCGTCTTTGCCATCAGCCACCTGCAGCAGCTTATGCCCAAAGAAATGTGGATGTGCTCCTGTGTCCCCGGCACTGCGATTCCCTCCTCCTGCCCTTTGCACAGGGCTATGAATGAGCTGGACCAGTCCATACACTGCTCCGTGGCACCACAGTACCTGGAGCCCCGGCCCCGAGGCCATGGGACCCCCCACCAGCACCCCATGCGTGGGGCTGCGGAGCCAGCATCTCTGTGCATCACACTGAGTTTGCAGAGCTGCTCCTGGGTGGCTCCTCTCATTCCTGTTGTCCCTGAGCACAGCCGGTCCTGATGGCACCGCAGCAGGGCAGACTCTCTGCTCTGAGCTCCGAGCTGCCAGTGC